GAACGAAAAGAAAAGTGCACCCAATTCTACGTGACAGAATGGCGCATAGTATGTTTATAAAACTGTACCCTATGCTCTGAGAACACAGCGAAAAGTTTTTCAACTAATTTCGAATGCCAGTCACATCGTTTGATGAATTACTAGAAATTATTCAAGAATATTTAACTCCATGGCAAAATAGGCTACTTGATACTTTTTGGAAATATGTTTTAAATGGTTAATTGTTCTATTAGACCGAAAAAAAGGATTTAATTTTTGTTTGACCTAGAAAGCTACAAAACTTTAATTTTAAAATAGATTTTTCATGGACATACAAAAACGATGTCGGCCATTTTAGTCTATAGATTATCTATGCTATGACGTCAACAAAATCGTAAACAAACATTCGGAAGCACGTAGGAAATAACCTGAATCTAAATTTATATTATAAAACCTAATTTCTAATAGATTTCATGATAAATATAGAAATTATGTTTTTATTTATTTTTTAAGCATTTAACTGCTAGATGTTTAAATCTAAAGAAAAGTTTACTATAAAAAAAAGGCTGCCTGGTCCGCGTGGATTTTTTTCTAGTAAACTTTTCTTTAAATATAGTAATGATCATGACTATATTATACGAGAATATAGAAACACATCGTTGAAGACTCCAGAAAATTTGTGGTTAAAATTATCTAGAGAAATACGCATACCTACACATGAACACAGTCATATTTAAAATTTGCTAAATCCTGTAATTTCACCGCCTGAAAGTCATTTTTTTAGCAAAGATCACTTTAATGTGAGTACTCATTGAATAATATTTAAAGTTTAAAAATACAATTTTTAAGGTTATGAATGTACCTACTAAGTCAAAGAGTTTTGTCGTTTCTGCTTTCAAAAATCCGGCATCCAGCATTAATTTAGTCAACAAAACCAATTATCGGAAAATTTTCTTCAAGATTTAAGAGCTTTTAGATATATTTTAGTTGGACGAAAGACACCACAGTAACACGACAATGACGTTTAGTTGTTTATTAACACATTTACTAACTTGTTGACGTCACAATCATGGTGGACAGCGTTTTGAGTATTTAAAAAACATAGACTAAAAAACCATTTTTGAAATTAAATTACTACAGCCATCTTCTAATTTTATGAATTGAAATCCATGTATTTAGGTTCCTCATAACAAACATTAGTCATCAACATGAGTCAACTAGGCTATTACGTTTTTTTTCTTTTCTTCGGAATCGCCAGGTTCACAAAACATTTCGACTATTTATTTCTTCCCAGTTCCTACGTTCTATTACTCTATTGGAAAAGTCTGAAGATTCTACATCCCAAATGGCTACTCTTTTTCAATTTCGTCAATAAAAAGTTCGGTATCGAAGTTATCACGCTCCATTGTGTATTTTGTACGTCCACTCGCTACGGATTCACGCGTAGCAATGGCGCCCGAATATCTCGACTCATTGTGTTTTCATGCGATTGCCAAGTCAATTTATTTATTTAAAACGTATAAGATTTGTGATATTGATATGGTCAGTATAATATGTTGTTAGGTGAGCTATTTTGTGAGACAGAAGGTTCCTTAAGTAGGGGCTGAATAAATTAACAGACTTGGCATAACACCAACATTAATCGACCTCCGTGGTCGAGAGGTTTGTACGCCGGGTTTCATGGTGTCACCGACTCGAGAGGTCCCGGGTTCGAATCCCGGTGGGGGCAGATATTTGTGTGATTAATACGAGCATTTGTACTCCAGTCATGGATGTTTAATATGTATTTCTATAAATATACTAATTTATGTACTGTATATGTATTCTATCCGTTACCCTAGTATCCCATAACACAAGCCTTACAGTGCTTACTTTGGGACTAAGCTGATTGGCGTGAATGTTGGAAACATTTATTTATTATTATTATTATTTTCGCCAACGAAGTTAAAGGGCTTGAAAATAGTCTGAACTGTTTCGAGAAAAGGATAGTACGGATGTGCCGCTGTTATTGCCCGACTTTGGGGCACGGCAGTGCCAAATGATACACTGTTGTCAAATTTAAGTTTAGGTTTAGAGAATCACGCCCTAATCGACACCATCATCTTATATCTATATATATATATATATATATATATATATATATATATATATATATATAAGATGCTGAAATTTGGCATGCAGGTAGATGTTATGACGTAGGCATCCGCTAAGTAAGGATTTTGATCAATTCTACCCCCAAGGGGATAAAATAGGGAATGAAAATTTGTATGAAACTTTGTCAATTTTAAACCGATCGGGCTGAGACTTTGCATGCAGGTATAAGAAGAATCATGGATGAATGTTATTGTGTATAATACAAGCCTGAGAACAAAAACTGTAGTCTACACTTCAGCTCTGCACCGAAGCGAAGCGAGGGCGGGCCGTTAGTTATTGTATAAACAGCCATGAGTTAGGCAAAAACAAACTTTTTCCAAACCGGAATTCGAACTTAGAACCTCTGAGTAGGCCACACCTTCAACACCGTGTACATTGCAATGCACCACACGTAAAAAGTTCGTAGATAACATTAATTTATTAGAAACTTGTCTTCATAGTTCAACTGTTGCAATAGAAATTGATTGATTTTATCTCAATGATGGCTACACGCTTACACAATTAAGGCTTTCAAAGCGATAACCAAAACACTCACGTAGTTATAATAGCTGGTAGAATTTTATATAAGTTTTTTTAACTAGTGACCCGTTTCGTTTTGGATTATAATAGAATAGATTTTGTTACTGGATTTAGCAGATAAACACTCATGATTATTCCACACTAGCGCGACAAAGCTTCGGGTAGCTTTGGTACTAAACGCGCTAAAATTAATTAATTAAGCGTTCGAAATTTGAATTAAGTACCTAGTTCAGTCGTAATTAAATTAGTAGGCTAATTCTTTAAAAAGCGTCCTCCGCGCAACTTCCGTGGTGAAATGTCATATTGAGTTTTGAGAAAATATAATATAATAAATAAAACTAGTTTTAACGGGTTTAGTCCAGTCGGAATAAACATGAGACCTATTCTAAGACACCAGCGCTTAGCCAATTTTTTCCTAGATAGTATAGACCCCCACGAATATACCCCCCATTTGTCCCCGCTAGAACCCGTGTTTTGTAGCCAGGAAAATTGTTTAAACAAAGAAAAACCGTTTTTTTTTGAGTTTTTTTGCTTGTAAACGGGGATTTTGAAAATTTTTTTGAATCAAAGTTGTTCATTAGCTTGCCCGCCACAAAATCAGTTCTATGAAAAAATAACGTGAGATTGTTAGTTTAGCAGTAAATTGCAATTATGTCGGTTTTACGTTTGCAACAATTCAACATGTTATTTATTAAACATTTTGATTTCTAAAGTAGTTTATCATGTGGGTAACGCCACTCCCAAGAGAGTCATGTAAAATTTATCGACCTGTGTCGCAAACTTTAGCAACCATTCTCAATCTCCGAAAAAAAAGTACTTGCCTGTCCCGTCTTTCCCAGAAGGCGCACAGCGGGGAAAAAAATTCAGGTGATTCGATTCACCAAGAATTTTGAGGAATCGATCGAGTAGAAAAAAATCGTTAGTAAAAATGTTCGTTTTTGGACGATTTAATTTTTTTTTAAAAATTGACGTAGAATTTTTTTTCTTTTTTAAACTAATGTATTTTTCTCTCCTTTAAAAATTCCACGCGGACCAGGCAGCAGATGGGACTCGAACCCGCACCCTTCGCAATCCGGGCGAATGCACTGATCAATTATGCTACCGCGGCCATCACGGACCGCGTCGAAATTCTTCTAGCCATTCTTAAGCTGGAAGGCAGCGCCATCTCTTCGCATTATAGGTAACCCACAATGTCAAATGAATAATTTTACAAGTACTAAACATTTGAAAGAAGAATATTATATGAATTTAAATTCCGATACATTAGTCGTATTAATAGACCAATCCAATACAAACATACGTATACATATATATAAATTCACACCATAACTCCGAAAACCATTTTTTTACTATGTTTAACATGACGTTGAGTGAGTTGTTTGCTCTTGGTTGTTAGATTTTTTTTGAAGAATAACTTACCTACTATTTATTTATAGTACCGCGACGAATAGTAAGTTCGTCATCCAGAGTACAACTGAGTACTATTCAAAGATGTGAGCCGATTAAGACGCGCAATCACAAAATTTCTGAAACGTGTGACAATGACAAAATGCACTATAACTTTATCAATTTCTCTATTTTATTTTTGGCATTATTAAACATTAGTTAAATGCTATTATTTTGACATACAAAACATACGCAAAGCTTTGCAAATCAAGAAGTTATTAAAGGTTTTTCAAAGCGCATTTAGTCTGACTCCCAAAAACGAGCGTTTTTGAATCCCGATTCCGACCTTAAAAAAATATTTTAAAATCTAATTTAATAAATATCACTCATTTTTATAATAATTCTATACAGATATAAATGAAGAACAATTTGGTATTGATTGTAAGGCTATATTTACAAAAGATTAGGAATAACAAGTGTGTGACCGCCAAAAGCAGAAGAAGAAGAAGACCTTGAAGAACTACCCAGGAGCCCTGCGTGCAGTGTGTGTTGTGGAAATTTAGTGCATTTAAGGCTTAATTCAAAGTCAAAACGCTAATTTTACCGTATTTAATACTAAAACCATCCGAAGCTTCGTTAGGCAGATGTAGGATAAGTACCAGACACGAAAAGCGACTTAATTTTGTACCAAGTATGCTATTTCATCACTGTTTGCAATAAAATAAATTATTTCCGGGAAAGTTATTAAATAAGCAGAGAACTTGTTTACATCATTTGATGACATATTTTAGTACATCAATGTGACCAACTCATTCTACTCATGAATTTTCGTAAAAAAAAGTTCTCATTTTGTTTGCAAACTTTTTGGATAATAAAATCTTATTGCAGCGGCGGCCGTTCGTGAATGTCTACAGCTATTACCGTAGCGTTCGAGCTTAACGTACTCGTAGCTACAGTTCAAATCTGGCGACGGTCGCCGTCGGCCGAGTGACGCCCCGCTTTCACGTTCCGCGCGGAAAGTTCAGCGCGACGAGCGAAGTGATGGGATTCCAAATTTGAGTTTTGAATGCGATAAAATTTTAATTTCAAACTGGTGTTCTATTTTCGAGTGTTATTTTTTTCTCCTCGGACTTAAATTTCGAATAGATTGTATTTTAAGAAGACGCTGCAAAGTTTTGTGTGAACTAAGAAAAAGTTTTGATCAATATTCGTGGTAAAACAGTGGTGTGGTTATTGTTTTGTGGTGTGATCAAAGGTGAACTAACTTTTTACCCTTTTAAATATATTTTGAGGTAAGTTCTTTTTGACTTTCAAGTGATAGGTACTATATTCTTCATAAATTAAAATACGGAGGAATGAAAAGTTTGACAAATATTAGGGAGAAGTTTATTAAGATCTCAGCTTTAATGGCAAATTTTGTTGTATTTTTTTTTGTTTTAAATAATTTCATTTTGGCATTTTCGGTGAATATTGTTACCGATTATCTCGATTTTTTGACGTGACAACGTCTTAAATTAGGTTGCGGCTGGGAGTCACTTATGAAAAAGTGTAACGCTCGGTAACGTTACGATGAGTCTCTCGTGTTAAGTTTAAGTTTACATGTACAATGTTTTAGTAAACAAAATATATTTCTATAGTTAAAATTTGTGCAATTCTTATTTTCATTCAATTCCTTGTTCCTATTGTGCAATTTAATTATATTCATATCAATAAATATTCTACCGAGAAAAAGACGTTGTCACGTAAAATCTTCGCCCGTAAAACCGACTTTACAGGCAACCATTTTTTTTTAAACGGGAATAAAGTAAGCAAATATAACTTTTTCAGTCCTTTACATACATTGGTATAGATACTATTTTAATAATCAAACGCGCAAAATCTCAATTGATAAATTGATTTAATTATTTATTTCTTCGAATACTTTCTACCTGTTATCATGTATCGTGTCGTTTTATATATTTAACTGTTATATACAACGTTTAACTGTTATATATAAATAAATGTGACACTGATACTAGTGTTAAAAAAGGCTTCTCATTCACGGACATTTAGAATGCTCTCCCGAAATCGACCGACACGTACATACACGGCTTTCATTGAAATCCCTTCATTTGTCATTTCAAAACAAATTAAACAAATTACGATACTATCAATACATCAATACATCTTTTGTTTCATAATGATTGTAATAATATCATTAAAAAAATGTTTGTTTGTTCATCTTTAGCCTCGAGAGAGCCTTTTCAAATTATTTATTTCGCAAAATAAAATATTTCTATACCTGTCTACATTATAACACATGGAAAACGCTTAAGTTTAAATGATGCGTCTAAAGGCTATTATATATGTAGGTGTAAACTTCATCTGTCCCTAGAGGGTGTCCATTCAGTTTCCGCGTTCATTTGTGACGGTCATTTTAAGGGCAAGCGAATAATTTTATATGATTTTCCGTTTTAGCTACAAATTTTGGAAGCACAACTCTAATTAGAGCCATGGATTGTGTTTTGTTGGAGCAGACTAATTACCACCAAAATTAAAAGCATTTAATAAAATCATTTGAAATTCTTTATTTAGTACCATATTTAACATTACTAAATGATGATTAGGATTTTGTTTTTTATGGGATACTTATTTATTTTATTTAATAATTTATTGTACACGAAATATACGTAAAAATACACAACTTAAGGTGTGGCTTATTTCTCTAAGAAATCTCTTTCAGCCCACCTGCTATAGGAGCTATGCTGGGAGACATACATGTCGCGTGTACACTAAAACCATATTAATAAAAAATATAAAAGAAATGCATGTCAACTATATGAATAAAAATATGTAAACAATATTTATTGTTTACATATTGTTCAATTATTATTTATTGCACAAAACAGAGTTACAGCAAGCAAAATGGTAAATGACCATAATAATGAACATTCTACTACACTCAAGGCATCGATATCTATTGACTTAAAACTACAGTAGTCACACTTAAATTAAGTTTTGATAATTAATTGCTGGATGTATAAAAAATCATCATCTGATAACGACTTGACTTTCTTCTGTGGTGTTTTCTGACTGACAGGACTTAGAAAACCTAGTCAGTTGAGAGTTTATACCAGTATTCCTTTGCACCTATAGGTGTCCAGATATGCACCTGCTGTAAACGGTTACCTTGTATCGCAGAACATTTAATGTCATATTATTATTTTTATATTTTCAATATCATAACAGCGGACGGCATCAAAATTTCGAAAAAAAAAAATCATTTGGCATTCAATTATTTAGCAGACATTTAAAAACATAATTTTGTAAGCCAGAATAATCTTAAGGCATACATTTCATATCCATAATAAAAGCAGAACCATCATATCGCAGAAAATTCTTAGCTTAAATCGTTCTATGGCAATCAATTATTGAACTTTGCTTTGTTTTTTTATCTATTATTTAACGCTTGCTTCGCTCGCTCGTCTCGCGCTAAGTTAAGGTACCTAACCTAACCCACTGATCACAAACAGCTATTATACTTAATGAAATTATGCAGAATATATTTTTACCAAAGTTAATTATGCCTATTTGTTTCTTAGGTTTTTAAAAATCTGCCAATGAAATAACCGAACGCTCAATAAAAGTCTTTCGAAGGCAGCTCGACAAAATTAAATAAAAAATCAGTATCGGTATACGGGTCAGAAAAGACTGCGAAACGTCAATAAATAAATAAAGTTTCGTGCATTAACCCGTTAAAAACTAGTTTTATTTAATTATGCCTAATAAAATTCTGCCATCTTAAACGTAAGCCATTGTTAATTCGGACACAAACATTCGACCAAACTATAATTATATTCACAAAAATATGCCTTACTAATAATCGTGTAAAGAAGATTATGCTAAGTGTATTATGCCGAATTCATTTCGGAGCAATAAGATTCTGCTAGATAGAGGGAACCCGTTGACGGCTACGATGACTCTAATTAGTCATTTTTACTATGAACTATCGGTCCGCTTAGACACTTCACTTCAATTTTATTGACGAGTAATGAGATTTCAATAAAAAACATCTTTACTGACAACAATTTAGAAGTTCCAAAAATAAACCAAAAAACAATCAGCGACCCACGAAAACGGTGTGGGGGGGCATCGTTACGTTTTACTAATGAGGAAAATGACTTAAGTGTTTAGAGATCAATCCTAAAGTAGGTACCTATTATCCCAATTACAGAATCAGCACACATAAATTTCTTAGAGATTTTCCAAAAAAAATCATTAATACAAAAGTTACGAGCACCAACAAAAACCAATTAGCCGAATAGATCGATGGTCCTTATATGATGTTCTCTTAGATTTGGAATTCGATTTATAGAAGACCTATAGACTATGTCCATTATCACCCACCAATCCGCGCTGGGTCCATTGTTACCCACCAATCCACGCTGGGTCTGTTATCATCCACCAATCCGCACTGGGCCCGTTATCACCCACCAATCCGCACTGGGTCCGTTATCACTCCCCAATCCGCGCTGGGTCCAGTGTCACCCACCAATCCGCGCTGGTCCCGTTATCACCCACCAAGCACTAGATTCATGTATTTTATGACGGGTATTGTTCATTGTTTAACGAACGTTTTAATGTTTTTAAACATTACCAAGTATGTAGGTTAACGTACTATTATCAGGAGAAAGTTAAGACCGAGAAGGGTTTAAAAAGGGGAGGTAAATAGGAATTTACCTCCCCTTTTTAAACCCTTCTCGGTCTTAACTTTCGCCACATAGGCAACTTTTATATAAAATTTCATGCTTTAAGTCTTAGCCGTTTTAGTTGTGCGATATTAAATTAGTAAGTCAGTAAGCCAGTCAATGTGTGACGTAAAGAGCCGCAAAAACCAAACCCGGACAGGTTGGAATTTTCCGCGTGGACCCATATTCTAATATGGATGGTGGGAAAAACCCAAGATTGTAAAAATGTGGTAACATTTTCTTCCCAAAATTAGAAACAGAACGATGAAAAGTGTTTATGTTAAATATATTTTTTCAATATAAGTCATTACCCAAATGCACAAGTACAATTGTCACGTAATGCGTGAACCAAAATTAAGAAAACTACTAACTGAACTACTAATGTAAACGAAATGCACAAAGAATTGACTGTATCAAAACGCACCCTAGATCTAGAAGGCCGTGCTTATCTATGGCGCGCCAAAAATGCGCGCTATTTAAATTGAGAACAGAGACATTGGTCTTCTCTTCTGATTGGAAATGTAGTGGCTGCACTACCTACTATAAAACTTCGATATTTATAATTATTGTTAATATTTCTCAATCATTCATTTCTACGTTCACTTAATTAATAATACTAAAAGCTTGTATCCCCGTAATACCCGATGTTTCAAAACTAATTATAAAAGAAAGCTAGTGTATAGTTCGGGTAAAAAAAGGTTCGTCACCGTAAGATCAATTTTCGTTTGCTCAGAATGAGCGATACTCTGCTTTACCGATTGAGTATGACATATTGCAGTCAGTAGTCGACTGTCACTCGCCGCCAGTCGGGATGACAGTGACAATTAAAGGTTACCAACTGTTTAGACTACAAAGCATTCACGAAGGACTTATTATGCTTCGTGAACGTCGTTTAATATCGGAGATTAGGATAAATGCTTTGTATCTTATGACAGATATAACGATAACAACTGTGTCATCTTGTTAACGAGCAAACGGCTTGAGTTCGTGTTCAATAGTGCCGTCTCGTGGACGTAAAAATTGGAGTAGCAGCCTTTGCCTAACCAGAGGCTCTATTTAACTGGCAACGTTATAGTTAGTTCAAGCACTTCCATTGAAAAATGTGAATTGATTGATTTTGTAAAATGAACTTCATAAGTTGATAACTCTAATTTTAGACATTAGTTAAATATGCATAACGTTGTTACTTTACATTTTAGTCGCAAGTAATAGAATATTAATTTGATATTGACGAAGTTCCAATGAAATAGATAGATAGATAATTCTTTATTGTACACACCACATTATAAAGTACAAAATTAGGACAATAATTTAAAAAGGTGGACAATTGGCGGTCTTATGGCTATGTAGCCATTTCTTCCAGACAACCATAGGCTGGAGAGACGAAATTCAAGAAAGTGGGATATAATTTGTTTTCAAAATAATTGACAGGGTGACTTCGAAACATTTCTAATTTGCAGGTTGGTTGAGCTAATTTATTTTGTGGTCTAAAAATTTGAGGATGTTGGTAATACGGAAAGTACTCAGGTCGTTTTCTAACAAATTATATACACGGCGTATCTGTA